AGCATTAACACCTACCTTTGCAGGGTGTAGAGAGTGCGTGCCATCAAATGCTGCTAACAAATCAAGACTGTGGCCAACTGGAATTGTTTTTCTTTTTCTTGTTACTTCTGTTTTCTGCCTTCTTTTTCCTTTTTTCATTTCGTTTGTTTATTTTTGGTCTCGTGTAGCTACACTGTAATTAATTATGGTGTTATTTAATTTAATTGCGTGTGGCATTTAGACGCAGTCAGTTGGCAAGTGCGTACAAATGGTTGGCCTATTAGCAGACGCTGCCTTTAAAACACATACTCACACGCACAAGCACACACACACGCATGTGCACTTGCAGCACACACACATAGACACACACAGACATACAATAAGAGCTCAACCTCCTGGGGGCAGACAAATGTGTTTTCATGTTTTGGGAAAGCAAGTGAAACATTTGTCATTGTGTGCATTTAGGCCACATATGCTCGTTGATTATGTTGATCATGATAATGATATAAAAATTATGCTGCCAACCTGCTGTGAGCCATGGTGCGTATACGCATTATATGCTCATTTGTAGCGACTAAGTGCGAGCATTTTGACTTCCATCAAAAATACATGAGCTACATACAAATAATCTCGTTGTTGCCCGTATGTTGTTGTTGTTGTTGCTCTTGTCATTTCGAGTGAAATCTATAATAACTCAAACCTGGCTGAACAGCAAATGCATGTAGAAATATTTTTAGAAAATGCTTCCTGGAATACCCTCAATAGAATTGCAAAAGGCTCACGTGAGCATATTAGCGTAAGGAATAGAAATGGGAAAGGAAATCTCATAGAGCAACTCAATCATTATTCCTCGAAATATGAGATAAATCAGGGTGTAGTCTGAAAGTGTTCCAATCTCACAAGAAATTGATGTAAATACAAATTCAATCTACTTAGAATTATATATATCTATCATTATTTGTTTTTATTTCTATTTTATTCTTTAATCGAAATTTGAGTTTCATTGTTTTATATTATTATAAGATAAATTTTCTCTTAATCGTTAAGGAATTGATTTTGAAACTTGATTTTAAAGAAAGTACAGCTCAAGAACAAATAGAGCTAGGGATCCGCTCGACAACAACAAGAGAAAGATTTCTCATAATTCTCCATTTAAACTGAATCCAGTTACGATATAGATTGTAGCTCAGCTTTAACTGCTACTAATTATGCACATAGAGCATCTGCTAGTCTGGCATACCCCACTTGGCTTTTCCGCTGCCTGATTTACACATACAAATTGTAGAGAGATGGTTTCAATGGCTTTCCATAGACGTGGGATAATGCTTGTTTATTTATTTTTTTTATTTCTCCCACTCACATGGATCAGTTAACGCTTGCCAAAATGACAGCCAGCAAACAACAACAACAGCAGCAAGTGAAAATAAACCAAATAGCAGCCAATCAACACTTGCTACAAATCAGAGAAACTACAACAACAATAACAACTTTTTGATGCGGGTCATGTGGAAAATTGGGGTTGCATTTTCCTGCTATTTTTTTCCAGCTCTCGTGCTGGCATTTTAAATTAGCGCTAATTGAATCAAGCCAAGAAGTGTTTTCGTTCTCGTTCATCGTCCAGCTGTCTAGCCCGTCCATATGTCCGCTTGTCCACCGCGTCCCTTTGTCCGTCTGTCAGCCTGTCAGTTAAGTCAGTTAAGTCAGCTGTCACATGTGCAAATTTGCCGAATAAGTTTTTTGACAGCCTCCAAATCCCATACATTGGCATTCGCATGTAAGTCAAGCTCGGGTTGCCGATGCGACTCGAAGGTTCTTTAATTCCTCGATTCTTTAATTCGATTAGTTGGGATTGTCAACGGTGTTTTACTAATGAGCATTTTCGGGCCGAAAGTGAACATTATTTAGGTATTGATTAGGAGGAGCAGGAGCTGCTCGACTACTATATACCCTGAATTCCCTGAGCTGCTATGCAGCTTTTTGAGAGAGAGTGTTCCCAATATGAAGTATATCCTTACGAGATGCCCTCAAATGACTTAAGCTTCAATGACCAATGGGATTTCATGGAAGGAGCTATCAATGATGCCAAGCAGACTGGACTGCATCTCTATAGCTCTCGCTCTTATAGATCAAAAGATAAGAGGCAGAAAGTAAGCCGCATGGACAGAAGAATGCTCGAATAGTAAGCCACACTCAGATCGAGTCGTCTGCTGATCATGTTTAAGACTAGATCGTTCACACGTCCCTCTTCTCGTTGCATACCTCTTCACCTATTCACCTTGTTTTTCTCTTGCTGCTAGAGTACAAGCATAATGGCTTTTTGATTAATTGACTCGCCTTAATGATACTTCTTGACTGTCAGCCCAATTAATATAATATACAATTATTTACTTTACTCATAGCTGCTCAAATATCATTTAGCTTTCCGTTCCCAATAAGGCTAAAAGCCTGCAAGTGTCTTGGACAAATTGTTAAGCATTATATCTGATCCAGTTGACGGCCTATAGCCAGGCGAGCTATCTCGCTTGCAATTCAATTACATCTCCGAATCTCAATTGTTATCTTTAATTTGCTTTAATGTTTGTTTAAACTACTCTCGACTGTTCACACAAATTTACGGATAATTTTATTTAATTTGCCTCATTTAAAATGCATTTGCTGTGCATATGTCACATGCTAATTTATTTAAGTGTAAAGATATAACTGTTTAATATTTCAATTAACACAAAAATATTTAGTTAACATTTAAAAGAAAAAATACGGGAAATTGTAATCGCAGTTAATTTTTAATGTGAGGTAAAAGTTGAACTATTAATGCGCTTGACAATAGAAAAAATATTATATAGATTATATATTACTGAGTAAGATTTACAGATATAGTGTAGTATTATAATATGAAGATAATCTATAGATATCTCTGTAGATCTCTCACTGTCTGCATATGAATATTAAGGAATATTGAGCGGACTCTTTCATATGAGTCAAATCGAATCGAATCATTTTAGAGGGTTGTCCTATGCTTTGAGTCGTGTTAAGTTAAACATTGAAAAATTAGTTATAGTAACAATTTATCCACTGAAGAGTGTTCTTTTAATCATATGCTCTAATATGTTTTCTATATGTGTGTGTAAATAATTCAAACATTATGATGTTCTAATGGCTCATCTGTTGAATTAGCGAGCCATGAAATCAGATGTATAAAATTAAAAAAAAAAAAAAAAAAAAAAAAATTAAGAATGTTGCCTGACATCATAATGCCTGCACACTCAGTAAAATGAAGTATAATTATACATATATAAAAATTTCAACAATTTGGGAGCGCTCGCGTGGGGTATACTGATTCATCAATCTGATTTTTTCAATCTTTTTATCACACGTATTCGCCTGACTAACTAATCATATCGAACTTTCAATCTCTAACTTTATAAATAAACTGATAGGCAGCTGAGCATTAAACTAAACTAAACCCGATATACTCTCTTGATCGCTGTATGAACTAGTATGAATTTGTTGTGTGCAGTCAACTGTTGAACAACTATCTATTAACTATAACAAATGCTGTTGCTGTTGTTCTTGTTGTATCTGCTACAGTTGTTGTTGTTTTAGGTGTAGTGCTGTTGTCAGGCGTTAATTTTGCGCACGCCTAATGAATTTTACACTACATTTTTTTTTTTTCGTTGCTATCGTTAGCCGCGTATTAGCCAATTCCATTTTTTTTTTTTTTTTTTTTTCTGGACTCCGTCAGCTCATAAATATTTAATGCAAAATAATTAACAGCATCGCGTGAACAGCGGCAAACGAGAACAGGATGAGAGCTGGATGGATGGATGGAATGATTGATTGCCTGCTGCCTGCCAGTGGACAATCATAAAATTTTCGTTAATCAAGTTTAATTAATTAAAGGCGACAAAATGGCGGCGCCTTGCGGCCAAGAGTCGGGACAAAGTCTGCACCGGGATAATAGTTCAGCCCAGAGCACATTGGCAACTGGCAACTGCCAACTTCCATTTGCCATTTGCCAGTTGCCAGCTGCCATATCCGTGTCAATACTTCCTGCAGCTGTTGCTGCTGCTGCTTGGCCGTAAATTATGCAATACTTTTCCGCCAGAGGGAGTTGGGTGCACGTGTCGCCCATTGGAAGCCGTCAACTTCTGTCGTACGCCTCGTCAGCGACTTTTGAAACGGCGTCAGCTCCAATGACAGTTGCCATAATGCCATAGATTATGTTGTTAAATAAAGCCGCCAGTCATGAGCCAACAGCAGCAGCAACAGCAACAACTACAACAACAACATTCGCCTTTAGTTGATAATCACATTGATTTATATTACATTTACGACAAAAATCGATTATACATTAATTAAGCAGAAGAGTTGGTTGTTCTAGTTCCATGCATCAGCTTAAATTATTATATTATATTATTAATGAGCAAGAGAGTAATGCCTGATTCATAATGCTCAGTAAATGATTGATAAGTTCGTGGAGTGCTGAGAAACTGAGGTAGTTCATTTATAGCCAAGATGGCAGTCGATTCATTCGAAAATCAATATGCAAATCGAACTACTCTCTAAATTTAGTTGAGCCAGGATTAGCATTCATGATGACGTTCATTGCAGACTGATCCCTGAACAAGTTCAGTAATTCATTCAAATGAGCTGGTCTATCGGAACCACGTACCATTAATTTATTCAAATAAATTTATAAACGTATAAATATAAATATATATATTTAGAAGTATTAGTTATACGTATATGACATAAATCAATAACGGCGTCCCCATATACAAACCATATTACATTGCTCTCTATGAAATCAGTGGAAAGATCTCTATCCCACTTGAATTTCGAAATTAAACTTCTATAACAAAATCAATTAATAAAAATATATTTCATTAAAAATCGATTTGTTTTAAATTATGAACTGTCGCTCTTTCCATATATATATTACATTACTAAGTTGCCAACTTATTTCATAACTGAACAGTCATGGACTTGAGACTATTTGCGTTGGTCAGCGTGTTTCTGATATATCAAGGGGTGAATTGAAAACTTTTATTAAAAGTTCTAAAAAGCAAGTTTTGAACTTTTGCAGAGCTGCGATCCCAAGATAATATTCAAAATGAAAAAGATTGAATGCTTAACGAATCCCAAGTTTGTTTCGACATCGTTATGCGTTTTGAAAGCGATAAATTGGAATAAGGCAATCGCTCAAATGGATTGTGAGATTATTCAACCCGTACGCAATATGACTGTGAGTAAAGGATATTTTATGCAGAACTTTAAACAGAACTTTATGAACTAATTATTTCTTCTAATCTGGCAGGTTCGAGTCAGGGTTTACAAACAGGACTATAACAATCAATATCAGCCCTTTCTAATCGATGTTATATTGAATATGTGTAACGTGCTCTCGAAAAGGAACTTTTCGCCTTATGGCGTAATAATTCGAAAGCTATGTGAACGATTTACGAATTTTAATCACTCTTGCCCCTTCATAGGCCACATTATGGCCCGCAATTTGTACATCGATGAGAGCCTATTGCCGACATTCCCATTGGGTATCTATCAATTTTCAGTTTTCATAATGGAAAATCATGTCAACGGCTTCGACTACATTGGGGAAATCAAGATTTTTGTTCATGCCATGGAGATGGTTAAATTGAATAGAAGAAAAACTACGAAAAACATTAACGTAAGTTTAAATCAGCCTCCAAAGTAAAATGAGTTTTGCTAACCCAATTTCAATCATGAGTTCCTGAGCTCTGTCGATTTTTGAAAAAAAGAAATGCATAAATGTCTTGTCTAATTGGTTTCTAATACGTTTCACAGCAACGTCTATCGCTATCGCCTTTCTTTGCAGTTCTCATAATATTATTTACTTAAGTGAACCTATACCAGTTTGTAAAAAGTAAATCAACATATATATACAGTCGAGTCTCGATAACCCCGTAAAACGAAAATCGCGATAAGCCAATAATAATTCTCACTAATTTGAACTTCTGTGTAAATCGAAAAAAAAAAAAACGGATCCCCCTTGCCATTTCGAATTATCAGGAATGTTAACCTATTTAGACACATGTTCTACTATTTCATACATTATATATTTAGTATGCTTCGATTAGCAGTAATTACAAATATAAGTTCTTGATATTAAAATTATCAATATTATGACATTTGTGAATATATATACACTCATATGATAATGACTTATCGCTTCATTTATTATGTTTTCGCAGCAATTCAAAATCAATTACGATTTCTACCTATATATAGAGTGCAGGCACAGCCATTTAAAAAGTAAAGTTGACTCGGGGAAATGTACCTACTTTGGATAGTCTTCGTAATCCATGGAACGGCGTTGAGTTTAGTAAATAACACGAGAAATAGAGTAGATCCATAAGACATTACAGACTTTACTTTTTTTCAGTGCGCTGATCCAAAGATAGTTTATAAGTTTAAGAACGTCGAGTGCAGCGCTAACCCGAAACACGTAGAGAACCTCACCTGCTCCATTAAGGCGGTCGATTGGAACAAGGCGATTGTTCAATTCGACGGTGATATCGTTGTGCCATTGTACAATTGCTCGGTAAATAATAATCTTGGTTTTAAAATGCGGGTTTCTTTATAAAGGATTTCTGTTTCAGGTCCAGTTTGAGGTGTTTAAAAGGGGCTACACCAATACGTACCATCCATTCCTGATCAATACTACGTTTAATGTGTGTGACATCCTTGCAAAACGAAGCTTCTTTTCCTACGGTAGAATTTGGGTCAATCTAGTCAAAGATTATACAAATGCCTACCACACCTGTCCGTTTGAGGTGAACCGATTGCGATAACACTTGATTATTAAACTGAATAGAAACCTTTAACACATATATAGAATCATATATTTGTACGGAATTTCACCATGGAACCGGGCCTATTGCCAACTTTTCCTTTAGGCTTTTACCGTTTTACCGCTAAGATTACTGAGGGCTTTCCCGACAGACCAAGTACCAAACTTGCATTCGCCAAACTTGATGCTCAAGTTATGGAAATGATAAAACTAAGGAAGAAACTGAAGGTCAACAGAAATAATACAAGTAACCTATTGTAAGATGGGAGTATGAAATACAAAAACGTATTTCTCCATATTTAACTTACTTATCGATGTTTCTAAATATGCCTTAACTCTGTAATAAAGTGTATTAACCTTTAAAATCAAAAAATAAAACTGTGAAGTTTACTGTGAGCCAGCTTGAAATATTAGAATATGCTATACATGATATAACTCCTATGAATAAATATTGAAATGATTGCAAATCAGATTATGATTAAAGTATATGTGTATATATACCTTTTAATAATAATATGTCTCCTTCACTGAGTACTATTTATATTTATTTTCTGCTCTGTTTCCTTTGGTGTTTCCTTTTCTGGAGGTTGATAAATTGATCGATCGATTGTTGTATTATCCTACTTTTGATAATTTTAGTTTGTTGCCTCCATCATTTATATTGTATAAAATGGCGAATATCGAGTGCTCATGCATCTTAAATAGTTAACTACGCACATTTACATATATATCCACATATTTATATGCCACGAACATAAATCAAGTTTTAATTATGTCTCGATAATATAATGCTAATCGATTGCTATTAAAAACCTGTTAAGTAAATTTGTTTTTATTTTTAATGATATTTAAAATATTGTACTAAAACAAATGTGAACATCATCAATTTATAAATAGGAGGCACTTGACGTATTATCAGTGAGCGCAATGTATTTTCGAATCGGCATTATTTTCTATCTGTGGCACCTTTACAGAGTGGTAATACTCTCAAGAGCTTCTACCATATCTTATAAAATAGTATATTAATATGTTATCTATATATGCAGTGCGCTGATTCCGCGCTTGTGTATAAGTCGACCAATATTGAATGCTTCCCGGATCCCGCATTCGCCGTAAATGCAACCTGCTACCTCAAGGCAATCAATTGGAACAAGGCCGTGGCCTACATGGACTGTGATCTGATACTACCTCTGGCAAACACATCGGTAAATGGCATTTGCATGGTATTCCCATATATTATATTCCTTTCTTGATATATCTAGGTGCACATAGAGTTGTTTAAGCGCGACTACAGCAATCGATATCATCCGTTTCTGGTTAATGCAGTTGTCAATTTATGTGACATTATATCCAAGAGGAATTTTTTTACCTATGGCATGATGTTTTGGAAAGTGATCAAGAAATACACAAATGTAAATCACAGCTGCCCCATTAAGGTAATGTTTCCCTGTTCATTGACTGTTTGATGAATGTTTTATTAAGCTTCGGATTTTCAGGGTCATCTGCTGGCTAGAAATTTGTACATTGATGAGAAGTTAATGCCAAATTTCCCACTGGGCTTTTATCTATTTTCTCTAAAATTCTATGAGAACTACGCAGATGGACCTGCTCGATTCGTTGGCACTGTAAAGTTTTATGTGAATGTTAAGGAAATGGTTAAAATTAAGCAACAGTAGAATTAATTAAAAAAAAAAAAATAATGCTACAAAAAATCGAGAAATTTCTATTAGTTAATTGAAGTAATTCATTTTAAATTGCAAAAGTATTTAAGTAAATCCAGCTCATCGGTTGGGTTATATCATTTAATCACCATAAAATAGATTTCAAACTCAAAATTTTTATACCAATGTAAAATTAATTTTACGCTATTGCCAATGGTTTCGCCTCATTTAATCCGATTCCCCTACAATTAAAAATAACTTTGTTTCTCTGTAATATTAAAGTGCAGCCCTTGCCATTCGATCAGTCGACAAAATGTATTTAGCTTGGCTTGTCTTCGTAATCCTACTGCCAGACTGGAGTGCAGTTAAGTTCAATTAGAATGCAACAAATCTATTAGATATTTAAGGATTTTTCTCTTTCAGGGCGCCGAGCCCAAGATTGTATACAAGGCAACAAATATCGAATGCATTGGCAACCCGAAGCGCGCAGTGAATCTCTCCTGCATCATCAAAGCAATCAATTGGAACAAGGCAGTTGCCCAAATGGACTGTGATCTCGTTGTGCCTCTGCGCAATTTTTCGGTAAATAATAATGTCTAGTTTGAATAATATCAAGGTATAACAGTCTCTGTTGTAGATCCAGTTGGAGGTGTTTAAAAAGGGCTACAGCAATCAGTACCATCCCTTCCTGGTCAATGTCACCTTCAATGCATGTGACATCTTAGCTAAGAGAAGCTTCTTGCCCTACGGAACCATCATGTGGAGAACAGTCAAAGAGTTCTCGAATGTCAACCACCCCTGCCCAATTGAGGTATTATGATATTGAATACACTGATTTGTAAACTAGTTTAATTCTGATTCTTATCACATACAGAATCATCTATATGCGCGGAATTTATCCATTGATGAGAACATGCTCCCAGTTTTGCCTTTAGGCATCTACATGTTTTCCCTAAGAATCACCGACGTCTCGCCCAAGGGGCTTAGCGAATATGTTGGTGTCATTAAGTTCTACTTTCAAGCTATGGAAATGATAAGGATTAAGAAAAACATAAACTGAATAGAACACCAACAATAAAACCTAGCAATGGGTAATTATACTTCCGCAGTAGGAAGGTAAATAAACTGTATTGCTATATAGATCTTGTATTTGGGTATAAAATCTTACTCCACGCCTCATTCTATCTATTTTTATACCCTGCACCCATTGAAAATGGGAAATCAGGATAATGGTTTTGTGAAAAGTATGTAACAGGCAGAAGGAGGCGTGGCAGATCCAAAAAAGTATATATATTCTTGATCAAGGCAACGAGCTGAGTCGATTTGGACCTGTCCGTTTGCCTGTCTGTCCGTCCGCCCGTATGAGCAAGCCGATCTCATAAGAGCTAGAGAGCTGAAATTTGGCATGCATACTCGTGTATACCATGGGCAGTACAAGTTTATCTTATTTTTCGATAACTCATCCGATAACTTTTTATCGAGAATAATCGAAAAATGGACTTTGTTTTTTCAGCCTAATTTGAACACTTTTAGACCTAGAGACTTCAGATTTACTGTATATATACAGTTGATCGATACGAAGATTTCGTAATTAACAACCATTCTTCATCCTCTGTACATAATGTGCTTAATTAGTTATTGATGCATTTTGCTTCGCACAGATATCAGATTGATTGCTTCATTATAGCATGGCATTCGATAATTACTTGAATACTAAACAAGTAAGAAGGCTCCAGTCGAGACTGCTCGACTAGGAGATACCCTGAACCCTCTAAGCTGATATTCTAATCATTCTGCACTTCTTTTATGCACATGCATCCACACGCACGCATAAGCCCGTGCTCTGCTAAATGCGCAGTAAGCAGCGACTGCGCTTGGGCTGCGCTGCAGTGTGGGCAATATTATGAGAATTTCTTTGTTGAATAATTTCTTTTGTAGACATACGATCTTAATGAAACTTTTAGAACGTAATCATATGGTGAATATGTGTGTACGTTTAAAAGCACAAGTCTCTAGTACTTGAAATGCGTTTTTTACAAATTGGGGGCGAATGGGGCGTGGTATCCAAAATCTGTAAATTACAAAATCTTTGTATCCAATTACTTTATATACAACCCAAATTTGAAGTCTCCAGGTCTAAAAGTGTTCAAATTAGGCTGAAAAAACCAAGTCGATTTTTCGATTATTCTCGATAAAAAAGTTATCGGAAGAGATATCGAAAAAATATGATAAACTTGTACTGCCTATGGTATACACGAGTATGCATGCCAAATTTCAGCTCTCTAGCTCTTATATCTTCTGAGATCCTTTTGCTCATACGGACGGACGGACGGACGGACGGACGGACAGACGGACAGGGCTATATCGACTCAGCTCGTCGTGCTGATCAAGAATATATATACTTTATGGGGTCTGCGATGATTCCTTCTGCCTGTTACATACTTTTCACAAAACCATTATACCCTGATTTCCCATTTTCAATGGGTTCAGGGTATAAAAAGGCCACAGAGCTGAGCGGAAACATAACGCTCGTAGGATTCGAATTCAGTTGTCCACGCAACGCGACCGAGCTCTGATTCATCCAGCGAACTGGCAGTAATGGCGATTTTGTACTTCATTCGGGAACCGCAAAGTCTGCACGAATGCGTCAGCCTGATTAGCTGGGTGCAGTTCGTCATGGGCTGCAGTGGATTTTTCCAGCGAGCAGGTCGCTTTGTCAGCAACAAGTGGACGCGCCTCTACTCCCTGAGCTTCGTGAGCCTGGTAATCTATGGTCTGAGTGCCACCATCTATGACCTGCTGCAAAATGAAGTGCTGCTGGAGCGAGTGCTGCAGGTGGACAAGCTAGTCTTGTGCATCATGGCCATGGAGCTGTTGCTCTCCACGCTCGTCTTCCTGATCACAGTGATCTCGCTGCACTCCTGGTCGCAGCGATACGTGGCCATCTACCAGCAGCTGGCCGACATCGACAGGCGACTGATAGGCGAGTTCGGTGCCCGCATGAACTACGGCAAGGTGGTGCGCAAGCACATCGTGGTGCTCTTCACGGTGGCCGTCCTCTACTTGGGCGCTGTGAACATGGGTCTGGCGCGCCTGGCTGATGGCCATCACCTGGAGATCGTGGTGCCCGCCGCCCTCTGTTACATCGTCATCACAGGTGGCCCACATCTAACGGGCTTCGTGCACATGAGCCTGGCCGAGCTGCTGGGCATCCGATTTCGCCTGCTGCAGCAAATTTTGCAGCCGCAGCGCCTGCAGAAGCCGCAGCTGGAGAATGGCCTGCGTTCCCTGATCGATACGGTCAAGCAGCTGCATTACCTCGTTATGGAGATCAACGAGGTCTACAATGTCACCCTGTGGTCTGCCATGGTCCACGACTTCGCCTTGAGCACCACCGAGCTGTACATCATCTTCGGGCGTTCCTCAGACACCAGCAGCAGCAGCGCCATTGGGGACGGCAGCTACGGTGAGAGTCCGGAGGGGGGCGAGGCGATGGGCGTGATGCTGATGGCGTTCCTCTCCATCTGCATGCTGGTGCCGTTCTACAAGATGCTCATCGGGCCCGTCTACTGCAGCAACAGCATCGAGGAGGGCCGCAAGTGCTTGCATTTGCTCGAGCAGCTGGACAATTGGTTTCCGGGCAGTCCAGGCATTAAAGAGCTCGTGGAGTCCGTAATGCGCTGGCGTCTGCAGTTCAAAATCAATTTCACGAGTGGCAGGAGCACGGTGTACAACAAAACTGTTATTACTGTGGTGAGTGGGAGAAGCTGAAAGGAGGTGGAGAGAGGGAGGGAATAAGAGATGATGTGAGGGAATCCAAAGCACGATCTCTTGATAGATAGACTCTAAACAAGTTTGTTGTTTAGCCATCGCCATTATCATAGTCTCATTATTGTTGCCTCTCTCTCTCTCTCTCTCTCTCTCTCTCTCTCTCTCTCTCTCTCTCTGATTTCTCTTTCAGTATACCTCCATTGTGTTCAACTATTTGCTGGTGCTCATCTCATTCGCCATGACACAGCAGCTGGGCGAGCAGGTGGAGCAGCAGAAGGTCGCTCTGCAGGATTGGATAGGCATTTAAGAGAGGTACACCCACACACACACACACACACACACACACACACACACACACACACACACACACACACACACACACACACACACACATATACACATACTTACATACATAGTATATCATTAGCTAAATTAATTTACGGCTCGTTAACATATAAACTCCATAAATATGTCAGCGCAGGGCTGCGCCAGCTCTGGGATGCCACTGCACCCAGGAGGCACCCAGAAGGCCGTTCGCTGGCTAATGATTATAATGTTTGTCGTTTATTTTATTTGAATTTTATGCAAATAAGCCAAGCCTCGGAACGGGCAATCGAACGACCAGCCAGCCAGCCAGCCAGCCAGCCAGCGAACCACCAGGCTAACCAGCCAGCCATGCAGTCAGGCTTTATCATTGCGACCATGCCTACGGCTCTTCATTGAGCCTCATTTATGGGTGGCGCCACGCCTCCACCACACTCACTCTGCTCGACTTTGTCTTTGCCTTTAAACTGTGCCCTCGACAAGCGCAACAGAAGTGCATTAGAAAATATTTCTTAGTGCATTCCATTAGCACAGTAGACATTGACGGTAGGGAAAATAAAGCTAAAGATTTGGAATGCCAATAAATTATGCGAAAAGTAAATGAAGAGTGAAGCAAAAATATGTAATTTTTTATATTTGATTGAGGTAAAAGTTTGAGCTCATGAGCTCATAAAAGAAAGCTATAATATGAAATGATGAGAAGGTTGTGACTCTTTGATCGAATAGAGGATTATCTTTTAGATTAATGATAACGAAGTTAAATCATCGATTGTTAAAATAATCGAACGAATGCTTCCAGTCTTTGCTCAGGACATTTGCTAGTCGAGCATTCCTATACGCAATGCTACTATGATATTACGATATTCCCCATAGTCTCCATTTCATTCCACAATACTATAACACTCCGATTCACTTATGTACT